CTCTGATCTACTTCTGGGTATTAAGTAACTAGAGTAAGCATTCTAAGTGTATAATTATGCTAAACAATGGTGCCTCTTTCAAAATTGTGAATTTCATGGCCTGTAGTTTAAAACACTAACCAAATTCAATTGTTCGAAAGTTGTTACATGATACTCAGGTGACTTATCAGGCCCGTGGGCTACTTGTTTTATTTAAATTTTGATTAAGCTTTACATGTAGAAACTAAAATATACTTGGCAAAAAAAAGTTTAAGACTTTAAATATCAGGATCCAACTTTAAATATACAAGTTTAAATTCGACAATTAATGACTTTATTAGCTTATCAGAGCCAAAGACTTTTCTGATCAAAATTTGGCCGTTGTCTGTAGTAGTTATCGTTGTTGTTGTTGTCATTGTAAACTTTCACGCTTTCATCTTCTTCTCAAGAACCACTGGGCCAATTTCAACCAAACTTGCCACAAATTATCCATAGGTGAAGGGGATTCAATATTATACAAATGAAGGGCCACGCCCTCTTCCAAGGGGAGATGATTATGAATTTGTAAAAAAATATTAATGGCATTTTAAAAACAATCTTCTCAAGAACCACTGAGCCAAGAAAGGTGAAACTCATAAAGATTAAACTCATGTGGACTCATTCTCTGGTAGTATAGATTTAACTTTGTTCAAATCATGACCCCCGAGGGTAGGGTGGAACCACAATGGCAAATCAAAATTTTACAAAGGAATATTTCGGAAAAATCTTTTAAAATTTTATTTATTCTCAAGACCCATTGAGACAGGAAAGACGAAACTCACGTTGAATCATCCTCAGGAAGTAAAGATTCAAATTTATTTAAATCATGACCCCCGGGGGTAGGATGGGGCCACAATGGCTGATCAAAGTTTTACATGGGCATACATAGGAAAAATCTTTAAAAATCTTCTTCTCAAGAACAATTGAGACAGGAAAGATGAAACTCATGTTGAATCATCCTCAGGTAGTGTACATTCAAGTTTACTCCTGGGGTAGGGTGGGGCCACAATGGCTGATCAAAGTTTCACATACAGGAAAAATCTTTAAAAATCTTCTTCTCAAGAACCATTGAGATTAGAGAGATGAAACTCATGTGAAATCATCCTCAAGTTGTGTAGATGTAAGTTTGGTCAAATCATGACCCCCGTGGATAGGACGAGGCCACAATGGCTGATCAAAGTTTTTCATAGAAATATGTAGGAATTTTTTTTTAAAAAATCTTCTCAAGAACTATTGAGACAAGATAGATGAAACTCATGATGAATCATTCTCAGGTAATGAAGTTTGTTCAAATCATGACCCCTGGGGGTAGGATGGGGCCACAATGGCCAATCAAAATTTTACATAGGAATATGTAGGGAAATCTTTAAAATCTTCTCAAGTACTACAAAGCCATGATTAGTGATATTTATATGGAAGCATCCTGAGGTAGTGTAGATTCTAGTTTGTTCAAATGATAATCTCCAGGGGTATGGTGGAGCCACAATGGGGGATCCAAGCTTTACATTAAATTATATTTTTAAAAAATTCTCAAGAATAGCAAAGCCATGATTAGTGATATTAATATAGAAGCATCCTCAGGTAGTGTAGATTAAAGTTTGTTATATTAAATCATAACCCCTAAGGGTAGAGTGGGGTCTCAATGGTGGATTTTTACAATTTCAGTTTTTACAATCGGAAAATTAAGGGAAAAATCCCATTAACAGAAAAGCTATGTTTAGTCATATTTACATGTATTGAAGATTTAAATTTGTTTAAATCATGACCCTTTGGGGTAGGGGGAAACAACATAGAATCAAATTAAAATTATAGCGAGCGCAGCGAACGTCGCAAAGCGACGCTCGCGAAGCGAGCTCAATAGACTAACGTGTATGAACAGAGGAAATTCGGATTGAAATCTGTACATACGTCAGCCAAATTTCTCTGTGCAACATTCCCAGAATTCCTGCACTACCCAATGTCCCTTGCGCGAATAAATCAAAAATAGTAAAAAAATTAAAGGAACATTGTTTCTTACCGAAATTTTAACGAAATGATTTTGCCTTACCTTATTCAAAAAATACCCCCATGCCACAACACCGGCCTTCACCTTGCCCTTCGGAAATGATACAAATGACGTCACCGGAAACTTACGAATTTTGACGAAGTTACGTCGGTTGCTTCCGTGAAACTCGGAAAACATGTTGCGGTGCATAGCAACATGGTGGCTAAAACATAGCTACTTGAAAAGAATTTAATTCAATCTCTTTCCATAAAACTAGCGCTTGCGTCCTAAGTCAACAGAACTTTCTATCTGACGTCATACTTTCGTCACTTCAACGGTTCGGGTATTTCCGATTTTGTCGGAAACTTCCGAGAAGTTTGGAATCTCGATCCCGATGCTTGGAAAATGATTTCTTTTTATTGTACTGTATTGTTTTATTCTTTTTGCTTTCTTTTTGTTGAATGATAGACAGTACATGTGTAGGTTTATGATAGTAAATAAACTGCGCTCGCCCCAACGGTCACACCGTAAAACATATTAAAGATTTATTTACTATCAAAATGTATCAAAAATCTTTAAAAACCTTTGCTCAAGAACAGCAAAATTATACTGGAATGCTGTATTGATATGTAGGCATTCTCAAGTTGTATTAAAATTCAAGCCCCACCCCATCCCAGAAACTTTCAATTCTGATCTGATTTGTGCTTTTTCCTAGCCAATGTGCTCAGGTTAGTGATTTGGCCCCTGAGCCTCTTGTTGTATTAATTAGATTTGAATTTTTAAAATCTGTATGATCTATCTGAGATTTTATCTTTAAATAGTATTATAAGAAATTCTTGATAAACTCTAGGTATAATTTCATGTATTATGTTGATGTTTAGATTGACCCTGAATTACAATCCTAGGACAGTTATTCCATATAACACACAGGATTCAGATCTCTTCATGGCTTGTATATTATAGATACGGTTCACAACTACATGACCAAGAAGATACTGGGGACTCTGAGGAAAGAGGACATGGAATTTATGGAGAGTCTACAAGGTAGTTGTTCACTATTTACATGATTCCATTGATTGATCCTAGAAAGGACATATGTTTTGTACAGACACAAAGTCCAGTCTTAATCTAAGTTTATTTTTCAGATGAAAATCTTTTGTCTCACGAAACTTAACTGGTATACCTTTACTCAGATGACTAAAAATTCCACTGATAAGAACGAAAAACCACCTACTGCACATTGTAGACCTATGGTTCTTGAGTTAAATTTCAATTTCAAATAACTAGGTCAATGACCTCGTTTTCATGTTAGGGGCCCCTGAGTATTTCTCGGGAAATACCTCAATTTTTCACACTATGACCATTTTTTTCTTCACTCACAAAATATTACAAGCGACAAAACTCTTTAAATATTGAAATATTATAGCAATGGAACAGAGTTGCTCCATATAAAGAAATGAGTAGAGTTTGGGCCATAAACTTGATAATTTTTACAGTTCGAATTTCCTCTGTCATATTTACATTTTTTTCCCTATTTTTAATCAAATATTGTAAAAATCTGACTGATAAGAACTCTTAATTATTTATAGCCTCAGGTTACTTTTGTTACCCTCATTCTCATGGTATTAATATTATATGGGGTCAATGATCAAATCATTGAGATATGTTGACTGCAGTGGTTTTTGTACATGTTTTTGAATTTCTTTATTTCATAACATTCTTTTATTTGAAATAACTTATGAACATAAACAAAATGCAAAATGATGTCTTTAAATACACGTAACCTTTACTTTTTTATCAATATTGCAAGAAATAAAAATTTTGACAAAAATGAAAAATAAAAAATTTAGTCCGTATTTCCTCTGCATAGCCATACATTGAGTTTTGTTTCTGTATTTTTTCTTCAAGTACTTACATATTAAATTTTTAAATTGATATTGAGATAAAACTTAGTTATTTTTCCATTTAGAACAATTTTTTATTCAGTATATTATACTTTATAAAATTTCCTCTCTGATTTCTGAGTAAAAGTCATCCTTAATGACTGATAAATATTTCTGATTTTTTTTTCAGAGGAGGAAGAGGTGTGTTAGAATTCCCCGCCCCCTCACCTGTCCCCCACACCGTGTCTCCCGCGGTCTCAGCGATGTCCAGTGTAGACAGTGGGGACAGTCTCATCTTTGTAGGCTCTGAGGAATCAGATCCAGAAATCACTAAAAGGTGTCTTCTTCAATAAATGTACACATGTTAGGACAAAATGATTATTTTTTTAAGTAGATGGTAACAAAATGAGTAGGTTTTCCTATAAGGTTTATTTGTTTGTTTCCTTTTGTACTGAATACTCTAACATACATGTAATCAATAATCGCAGTGATTCTTAGAGGCATAACTTATATGAAATTATTACTTTCAGATATGAGAAGATCAAAGAGAGAAATGAGAGTCTTGTGAAGTTTTTAAAATCCAATGAAGTAAAGGTAAGTAGATTGTATTACATGTATCAATGTAAGTGATGAACCATTTATTCAAGCATGAAATGAAACAACCCAAATTACTCATCAATCACTATTATCCTTGGTGATAAGATGACAATTTTTGTCATATTCTGTCAGAATGTTGTAAACCTTTTATATTAATTTCTGTGAGATATTTTGTACAGTCTTATAATATTAAAACAATATCAGCTAGATATTCTTAGAAAGTACTACATTGTACTTTGATGTTATTTTTATAGCAATATCTGCTAGATATCTATATAAAGTACTACTTTGATGTTATTTTTGTAGCAGTATCTGTTAGATATCTTTAGAGAGTACTACTTTGATGTTATTTTTGTAGCAATATCTGTTAGATATCTTTAGAGAGTACTACTTTGATGTTATTTTTTTGTAGCAATATCTGCTAGATATCCTTTGAGAGTACTACTTTGATGTTATTTTTTGTAGCAATATCTGTTAGATATCCTTAGAGAGTACTACTTTGATGTTATTTTTTGTAGCAATATCTGCTAGATATCCTCAGGGAGAAGAAGAAGAGTGAGAAACACACCACCTACAGATATGGCCTATCTAAGGCGAGGGACGGCCTTAAGAACCTGGGGTTTGGACCAAACGCTGACGAGTACCAGGTGGGTTCAATGATACAGTGAGTTTAATAAGTGGGGGGGGGGGGTGTCAAACTTTTATATTCTGACATCAAATGGATTTTTAGGTCACCTGAGTAAACTCTAGGTTTTCTTCACTCTTTTCAAATTTAAGGAAAAAAAATTTTCATAAGGCTTTTAAATATTGAACAAAATATGATATACTTATTACACAAGTGTTTTCAGATCTTGTTTTTTGTATTTAGCATGAAGACATTTTGAACACCATGTTGGCCTGGTACAAACAGGAGACAAAGGTTGCTAGTGATGAGTTCCATGACTGGAACTACGTCCTGGATGTTTGGATCCCAGAGGTGCGTTTTATGTCTAATATAACTTTGTATTGTCAATAAGGGATTTAATCTATTGTATTATTTTGTAATTGATGTACTTAAGAAGTTTATTTTGCTTAAATATTAGTATGTTTTAGTCTTTCCACTAAAACTGTAAACATAATGGAATTTTCAATGGGGAAAGAGACAAGTTTATATTTACACACTCGTGCATAGAAGTTGATGTACAGAGAGTTATTAAGCTCAAAGTCAAAAGAAAAATTCAGCACAATCAGAATTGCTTCTGATACTAGCTTCATTTAATTACGAAGTACAGGTAACAATGACTCTTGAATCATTGCAGGCCATTGTGTATGACATAATAAAGTTGAAGAAGTACACTCGTAAGAAGGCGTGGCAGCGGTTTGAGAAAGGAGTGTACATAACAAAGAAAGAGAGAGCGGAGGTCCACAAGTCGAGAGTACTGGAGAGCGCTAAAAGGATATCACCCGAGGACGTACAGAGGTACGAGGAGAATCTAAAGGACAGGATGAACGTCATCTGTCAACGCAGCGGACTTCAGAATATCATATTATGATTGCAATCTAAAGGACAGGATGAATGTCATCTGTCAACGCAGCGGACTTCAGAATATCATATTGTGATTACCACATAATGGACAGGATGAAGGGCGCAGACTTCAGAATATCATATTATGATTACAATCTAATGGACAGGATGAAAGGTGCGGACTTCAGAATTATGATTACAATCTAATGGACAGGATGAAAGGCGCAGACTTCAGAATATCATATTATGATAATGAGAGAATGAAGCGGAGAAGGATCGTATAGAAAACTTCATCAATCGACATTACGTAAACCAAAATGTAGGAAAGTGTGATTCATGAAAAAGCTTGTCATCTTATGTTGACTAGGGTACATGATATGCAGGTGCTCATCAAGTATCAGCTAAGGGGATTTCTAATGACCACTTTATGATGACTACCGTACAGTATACAAGGGCATAAGTTGTTCAGCAACACACCACCAAGGTGGGCTCTGTAACATCAGGCTTTGATAATTTGGGGCATACTGTCTGTGAAGATGCATAAAGACTGATTTCTTTGATTCGTCAATAAGTGGAAGCTAAAGGACCATTTATGATTATGTAACCTAGTCTATCTTACATGTACCACCGGAGATAGCAAAATAATGTATTCCCATCTCATTAACTCAATGCAGGCCTGTAGTATCATGGATATTACAACCATTATAATTAATTGTTTTCAATAATATATTGCTGACAAATACACGTATACAATTTTATCCTTAAACCTAGCTGTAACAGGTGTAAGTTGAAATAATATTATTAATTCATTTTTGTCTTCATTGTTATAAAATGCATGTACTTAATTTGCCAGTGTACTTGATAGAGAATAAGATGAAGAAACTGCTGAATATAAATAATTGTTTCAGATTTAAAAGCCATTGTAAAAAAATCAAATAGTATAGCAATATTTCCTGTGCTATCTTTAATGAACTGTCTTATAATGCTTAACAATTTTATGGGGAAGAAATTTATCCACTTTCATATGCTCAATACATTTGTGTTTTTTTTTTGTTGCTGTCATGTTGTTAAGGAAGACAACTCAGCCATGAGATCAATCAACAATTCATTTATAAAATGTCTGTCTACATCAATGTTTGAAATCAAATTTTGGTGTCATATTATTTATCTATATATTTTGAAAAGAAATTATTTTATTTCTCATAATATTCTTTAGAGATGGGAACCCTCTCCCCTTTTAATTAGGATAGACATAATTGTATATCATATCTTAAGGTCTAGGAATGTAAATGCTACCTGGTGGTTATGTGTATATTGTTTAAATGTGATTATTTGGTTTGTGCAGCTAGAAGCTTAATCTAAGTATTATCATACATGTAATAGGGAGGAAATCCCATGTCAGAAAATTTTCTTGTTTACTATTAAAACTCAGTTTGCAACCGTTAAATCAGCATTAACGGTCGCAAATACCAAATTAGAAGATTAGTTATTCCCTAAATGAATTTCAATTAGTTTGAGATTTAATGTTTGACATTTTCATTATTTAATGAAATTATGACAAGAAAAATTTGGTTGTGACGTTAGTCATGCTTTACAGGCATTAAGGTTGGCAATAGAAGTACAGGAAAATGATAACAAACACCAATGGTTTATTGTTAAAAGGTAAGGCAAAAGTTTAATATATTTGTTAATAATTATGTATATAGTTTTGATTTTGTTTATACAAAATTTTAATTATGTTTTAATTGTTATTTAGCTTTTATATGTCAGGACAAATGAAAATAAAATAAAAATCAGTTCTGCTTCATGTTATTTTTCTTTTAAAAGAGGTCGTGCCAAGGTACTGTTTATGTCTATCTGTGAGAAGGAGGGATGATAACATGGTGATAATTTATTTTTTAAAGTCCCTGTCGAGAATTTTTCACTCATATGGAGACACCACCACTTGCAGGTGGAGAGCTGCAAATTTATTCTTATACTCAGCACCCGGGCCATTGAGCAGGGAGGGATCTTTATTATGCCGGCACCTACTACGACACCGGACCTTCGTTTATGCTGGTCTCATCAAAAAGGACAGGTCTCCAAATCTCACAGTGGATTTAAACCCGCAACATATGGATCAGCTCCTTACTCTGCAGAGGATCTAACCACTTGACCCGTAGTGACCATAATGATTGGAATGATATTTCTAATATATGTGCACAAACTCAAACTTGGAGATTTGCTATAACCTTATGGTAATATTTCAAAGCAAATAGGGTGTCTAGTCTGACACTTCATCTTTATGATTCATGATTATGTACTTCATCAAAAATCAGAGAATTCTTTATGTCCAATGGAAAACATCACAGAAGATGAAGATGTTCTGCATGATACCCCGAGTCCACAGTCACTGAAGCATTCATCAAACTGTATGGACACTCTGAAGAGGAAAACAGTAAAACAGACAACAAGGAGCTCACTACCAAAGATAATGGGAAAATGTAAACAGAAAAAGAAGATATTATATTTCACAGAATGTCTTATTTTAGTGAAATTTAGTAAGGTTCATTTATATGATTTTTTTTACCCCAATCTAGATGCTGATGACTGCAGCTATAGTGAGTACATGAATCATTGTTTTATTTTATTGTTTGACAGAGAGAACATTAATAACCTTAAGAAAATTAAACATTTTTGTAGCTTTGAAAAAGAGTTCCACAAGAAAGGTACATTCATTATTTTTATGTCTAAACATTTGATCCTTAATTTTGTTAATAATATTTCAGGGGAAAATTCTTGGTATCTAATAGACATATTTCATATTCAGAGCCAAGTTTATATGGATCCTTTAAAATAAAAATCAAATATCTTATGCAAACATAAGAATTAATATCAATGCAAAATTTATTGCAATTTTGCATTGTTATGACTTCTAGCTGAAAATGGAGCTAATGGTCATAGATATTGATTACAAAAATTCTGATGCTAATATAAAAACTAGAGGTACTGTGAGCGATTAGCTCACTAAATGATACCCCCCGCCTCCCATATGGTTATAACTGGTGAAAAAGTCATGTTTTCCTGTCGCCGGGAAACCCAAAATATGTGTCGGATCAAAAAGTAAAATAGGAGGTGCACAATGGCAACATGTAATAAAGATTCTGTGAAAGTTTTATCAAATTTCATTCAGTGGTATGAGAGGAGTTGCGGATAAGAGATGGGTACCCGAAAGCGTAACAGACGGACGGACGGACAGACAGACGGACGGACGGACGGAATTAACGATTACTATATACCCTCCCGCTTTTCAAGCGGGGGGTATAAAAAGAATTTAAAGGTTAAAAAGGGGGTTTGTACGGAAGCCCTGGAGGGACATTGACTTACTTGTTATGACTTATTTGTTGTAACTTTTTTGTTTTGACTTAATATTTGTTTTCAGATTTTTTTGTTAGTTCTAACTAAGTGTAGGTAAGCTACTGAGAACGATTAATTGTAGTTTTGTAGTTAAACGTACAAAACTGATGTGATTACTGAATTTTTATATGTTAATTACGGACGCCCTTGAGATAAATTGACTTATTTCTTATTTGTTTTGACTTATTTCTTATATGTTTTGACATACTTCTGATGTGTGTGACTTAGTTCTTATGAATTAATTTTGAATACTTGTTACTAGTATTTTGAATTTGTTATGACAAGTTTACTTTACAAAAAGTGGCGTGAAAGATGAAGGCAATGTATAGTTTCAGAAAAAAGTCCTTAAAATTATTACTAACGACAAAATGAAATAGTAGTGATTGTCAGTTTGTCAATCATCATGCAAACTTGAAGTTACATATAAGAATTGCGTAATAACTTAGAAAATAAGAATTAAGTAATAACAACAAAAAGAATATTTACTTTAGACGATGAACTACAATTTGTTAATCAAAAACCACAGTTAAAATAGGACTAAATATCATTGTTATCATAAAATAAGCCAAGCAAGAGGTTTTCAATAGCTTTCTTACACTTAGTTATAACTAGCTACGAAACATACAAAACAAATAAGTTAAAACAAAAAAGTTATAACAAATAAGTCATAACAAGTAAGTCAATGTCCCTCCAGGGCTTCCGTAGGTTTGCCTTTTGCCATTCATAAGGCTTTTAAAAAGAGATTAGATAGTTTTATTTTCAAACATTTGGTTTCTTATCTTTGAAAAATTTTAATGGTGAAAATCCTTGACAGATGGATGTACGTGTATTTTTTCTAAGGAGAACAAGAAGTACATATAAGTACAGAATCTTCTGGAAGCGAACAACAGGGCCACATTAAGTATGATTATGCAAACTGATACACAATCATCTCTTGATTTTTTATTCCTATTAATGTGCTGGATTCACAATAATTTGTGGCTATTAGGTTTTACATTGGAATATACAATTTACAAATGGACACTTTGGTGCAGCATATGAAATGGCTACGTCCAATATGTTGGACAGGACAGTCCTCAGTGTAGAATGTGTTCCTTTTAATCAAACCCCTAGTGATGAAATGTGTACTGACCCAGACACTAAGGATTCTGAATCTAGGGCGACACCACTGACAAAAAGAAAAAAGAAAAGAAAAAGACAAGCGGACAGTGAAGAAAGTCTGCCTGGTAAAAGAAGAAAAAAAAATAGTGGCAAAACCTGTGACACAAATGCAAACCAATCGAACAGTGATAAAACTAGTGACACAACAGTGAACCATTCAAACTGTGAGAAAAGTCTGCGTAAAACTTCTGTCTCAAAAATTACTCAGGATGATAAATTTAAAAACCAAATTGTTCAAGTTATTCTAAAGAAGAACCTAAAAAAAGGGAAAATATCTGTGTCTAGCAGAAAGTTGAAGTCTTCAAACTGTGTTAACACGAAGTGATAGTAATCAGGAAGATCAATTAATAGAAGGTGACGAATTCTGCCGCAATTTATGAAACGAAATAAGATCAAGAGAGATCAGATAAAAAAATCCAACCTTGAAATTCACGAAAAAGAGGAAAACCATGAAAAAGAAGAGAAGAGGGAGAGACGAAACGTGAGCAGAGATACAGAATGAAAGAAAGGAAGAATTGTGTACGAGGGACAACACGGGTTACAACGAGAGAAGCTCTCCGATCTCGTATGGTGGGAAGCTGGACTATAGTGAAGCCAGTTCACCGATTCCTTACGGTGGGAAAGTGGATCACTCAGAAGGTAGCTCACCAATACCGTACAGTGGAGACTTGAATTCAGAAAGGTCTTCATCTCTTACAGAAGAAGATAGAGTTCCACATGATTCCCTGAATCTAAAGACAGCTAAACATTCACCAAACTTTTTGGACTCGGAAGAGGAAAAGAGTAAAACAGACAACAAGCAGCTCACAACTAATGATGATGGGAAAAGGTAAACAGAAAACTAACACTTAACATTCCATATAATGTTCTGTTTTAGTGAAATTTGGAATAAAGATTCAATTATTTTCAGAGTGGACTTTGATCCCAATTTAGATGCTGATGACTGCTATGTAAGTGATTCAGATGATGAGGATTTACCAGATGCACTTACTCCATCCAGACAAGGTATGATCATGTGTATTATTTTTTTGTCTACACTTTCTTTTACAAAATTATACCGGTATACAAATGTCTGAGAAAAAAGTTCATTTGGTCTGTTTACCCAAAGTGACCAAATCAATGTAAAGTATGAAATACATGTATGAATAGCCAAGAGGATGAATACAGTCCTATTTGAAGAGCTCTAAACCACCTTGAGTTAAACAACAAGTTATGATCCCAAAACTCTGCTACTTTCTTACTATTCTGTGACCCTTTTCACAAAAAATCTTATGATTCACAGGCTAAGACTAACCTCTTTTCTCCATTTTAAAGTAATTATCTAAGCAGCGAAAATCTAATGTTACTATTTCATTATATCAACATTTTGTAATTTTATTGAAATTTATTATTTAGAAAAAAAATCTTTATAAAATAAATGATTACAGAATGGTATGACATAAGTCTAAGTTGTAAGATTTTTTGTGAAAAGGCCCACAGAATTTATATCACCATGACCAATTGTTTAAATATATACTTGGTTACGATGTTTCCATGGAGTCATGGTTGGTTTTCAAAATGACAAATTCTGAATGAAATTTTTCCCGTATACAATAGTTGCTTGCTACTACCGGTAAATATTGCTGTGATATCACAGTGATATTGTGTAATCGTTATTATGGGTTCTCTACACATCCCCAGCTTATGTTCTCATATTACTGTCTATTTACTGAGCATGTACTTTTAACAAGCATATATCTGATAGTCTTAAAAACTGGTCAGGAATATTAAAATATAATAATTATACCCCCACTCCGAAGTAGAGGGGCCGGGGTATACTGGTTTCACCCAAGTGTGTCTAGCTGTCTGTGTGTCCCTTGTCTATATTTAGATAAACGTTCTATAGTTAAAATGATATTGTCTTATGGACCCGGTTTAACGATAGAATTTGTTCTGTGTATTTGTAATGTAGCAAAGCAAACATGGGCAATAACTCATAATCAGTGCATTTAATATTAAAACAATCTAGAGAGTTCCGAATGTAAACATGGCTGGTAATTTTAAAGCAAGAGAAAAATGTTGAAAAAAAATTGGAGGTAGTCTTTACATGGTTTATTTTTAGGGATAAAAGGCATATGCAATCTCAAAAAGGTTGTTTTGATTAATTTGGTAGATATTTCCAATGTAAATCCTTTTATATTCTTCAAAATCATTTCGGAGCAGATCCACTCTGATTTGCTACATTGCAGGTATTTGGGACGTATTCTAACTGTGGTGCAGGCTTGTACAGACACAGTTAGATTATTCTAACTATTATCTTTTATGCTACAAACACTCACAGATCTGCTGTTTTTATTGAAAAAATATTTTGGGTTCACACCATTATATGATTATGCCATGTGTTCATTGTTTATGATTAGGATGTCACTCTCAATTTACTGCATATTTTTTCCATGACAGAAACCTTCATTTTAAATTAATTATAAGACTATCTTTCTTACATCAGTCATATCTTATAACGCTTTAGTTATAACTTATACATAAAAACGGCATAATTATACATCTCACTGCAGATATTTGACTTTCTTCACTTGTTTGTTTCCATTTTGAGCAACAAACAGATTGTCATTGGTATCTATGCACAGTCCATGGGGTTCACTAAGCCCACAGTCTATGTAACGGAGGAACTGTCCATCCTGGTCTATGACGTGGACACAGTCATTGTCAATATCAGCTGTAAGGATGTGACTCTGACTGTCTGTGGTGATTCCTCCTGGATAGAATCGTTTGTTCCTTGGAGCAGGAGTATTTCCAGTGTACCTGAATCTCAATTTCCCGGCCTGATTGACCACCACTACTGCTTTTGGTCCCTCATCAGACACACAGATATCCAGGTTCCTGTTCTCAGTTATGTAGTATGTGTTATAACGACTAGATGAATAGAGAAGTTTACCTTTATCATCAAACTGATTGGTTTGTTTCTCGATGGAGCCAGAGTAACGGACAACTTTTGTTTGTTTGTCATCACTAATCATGATAACCAGGAGGTCACCAGAGGAGGTACTACAGATACCTCGAGGTATCCAGTTCTGTAGTCTGATAACCTCCTCTATCTCCTCATTCTTCACTATGTTCACAGTTCTATCACTGTTATCAGTATAAACTAGATCTCCACTTGTTGTCACAGCTATGTCCCATGGCATGTTCCCAGACTTGGTTTTGATTGACTTGAGTAGTGATCCCTGATTGATGCTGAAGAGTTTCACGGTGTTGTCATCGCCACTTGTCCAGATTTCTTCATCACTCAGACAGGCGACTTCGTAAAGGTTTTCATACCCAGTGTCTATGGTGGTGACAGTCTCTGGTTCATCAACCAGCTGTTTAACTGAAGGAGAGGATCCAGCTTCTGGTGATTTCTGTGTTGTCTTCATGCTGTAGCCATGTTTATCTGATGTTAAAGAACTTGATGATAAGACTCCAAATAGTTTGAGAAGTTCTTCTTCGTGTATTTTTTGGGCATGAATTTGGGTAAAGATGGCATTATTTGGTGTGGAAGATTTCTATACACATGCTCATGTATATGTACACTGGATGTGACACAAAACAGTTTTGACAAGTCATTGGTGTCTGTAACCATGTCAATTGTATCAATTTCTCCCTTGATGTCAGAAATTGTCTTGTTTATTTCATCCAGATGTTTCTGTAGAGTTTGTAACTGTGTGTTTTTCATCTCATCAACTTCAGCTTTAAGTTTCTTGACAAGTTTGTCAATTTCTCTGTGCCAGTCCTCTCCATGTTTTGTTATGGCTGTTGAGAGATCTCCATATTCCTTTTCTAACTGACTCATTCTGTTCTGTACATCAGAGGCAATGTCCTGGTAGGTTGGGTAAATTGTATCATTTAATTTATTTCTTTCTTTTATAATCAAGTCCTTCTTTTCATCCACAACTTTTAAGATTTTAGATAATTCATGACCTAAATGTTCATTTGATTCAATGCAACTTATGCAGACAGGAATGTCACATTGTTTACAGTACATGATACATTGTTGTTTATCATGAGGTGTACATCCAGGGTAGAGGGGTGTAGATTTCCTGGACTGAAATTTGACAACTTTGTGGTCCTTGGATTCATCCGTTGAGATGTGTTCTCCCACACACGCCTTACACAGGTTGACAAGACATGTATCACAGTGCATCTGTACCACAACGGTCTCACACAGGTCACATCGCATCACGTCCTGGGCACTGGTACGGGGGTCCATCATTAGATCTTGTTTCTAAAGCATAAAAATTTAACGTTAATAATAAGTCCATGCAACGGAAGTGTTTGAAACTCACTGTAAAATTAGCTCAACATGCAGGGCTGATTGCTAGTGAAAGTTGTCATCCCTGTCAAAAATGTACTAGCCCGAAAAAAATAATTGTCTTTTATAAGTTTGTTTTAGCAGTAATTTGAATGGGCCAGCTCACTCTATATTCTATCCCGGACCTATAGGCTGATGAATTCTACTTAATTGTTTGCTTGTTACACTTAGCAACCAGTAATATTGGTTGATTTGAGAGAGTTTTATCAGATATCCTAATTTTGATATATGGAAAAATTTTACATGTCCAGTGGGGCGTCAGTAGGTGCAGATCTGTTTGGCCGTAACAAATGTCTGTCTCGAGCAGTCAGACGCAAGGTTAGTTTAAACCATGGTAATGGGTTTGTGGATAAGATGCATTTATTTAGGCAGACATAGATCGATGGACAAATTTTGTAATTTCAGACAATTAGAGCATTGTTTTTCAAAAGAAAGGGGGCAAGGCTAAAAAAAATTGACAAGCAAACAAAAAACATAAAATGCCCATACTCATCGTCTTTTTTTGGGGGGTGGGGGGGAGGGGGGATCTTTCATTAAGTTTTCTGTGAATCTTTCTTTAAGAATTTGCCAGAATTTGACTTTACAGCAAAAAAAAATGGAAAAACCAAGCAACCTTTTTATGAAAAATTTCACATTAAAACTATCAGCAAAAGATTATTGTCCAAAACAAGTTGGGAGGATTCAGCCCATGTCACATACTACAAGCCTGCACATGTACATAAACAACTGAAGTCATTGAATATTGTTATTGAAACAATGTTCATTGAATCTTAATTTTAAAAAAAAAAAATTCTTCCAATAGTTAAAGCCTATGGAATTTCATTTTCATTGATTTGATGAACATTTCATAATCACAGAAAAACTTGCTGTATTTCCTACCTGACTTCAGTAATGGCGGCCGTTCCTGAACGATCTCCAAGTGCGGTCTTTTTACACTCTAATCATGTGACACACCTGTATTATCTACCTGTCAGGTGTTTATACTTCCTGGTCTAGAAAGGTATTTAAATAGCATATTTAAAGCAAATGCTATTAAAAATGCAAGATTTATGTCATAAAATATATGTAGACAAATTCATTTTTAATTGCATGGATTCATCATAACTGTCCCATACTTTCACAAAAGCTAGCTAAACGCACTTTCTCCACAATTGAAATAATCAGACCAATTAAAAGCTACCTTGCCACAAGGTGTCAAAGGGTGGTGAAGAAATACCGGTACATGTAGCTTTCATGAAATTGGTTTAAAACTTCAGTAATGTTGTAGCCAAAAATGTTACAATTTGGGTAATAAGGAAAATATGAAATAGATATATATTTGCATTGTACTACTAAATACAAGAAGCATCTAATATTTTTGATGCATGTTACCTGTAAAGAACACATTCCATTCCATTAAAAGTATTTTGACTTCTCAGTTATAATGCTCTTAATTTCATATTACAAATGAATGTACAATTATCATCACAAAGGATTTTGTTTCTGTTCTGATTTTTAGCTCACTTCGACAAAGTCGAGATGAGCTTATACTATATCCCCGGCCTTGGCGTCAGTGTCGGCATCCCAAGTTAAAGTTTTTGGAGCAAGTCCATTCCCAACTAACTGTAAGCCCTACCTGAACCAAACTTGCATGGATGATGCATCTAGGGATGGACAATACCAAACTGCTTGATCTGACTTATGTTTGCCATACAAGAGACCAGGTTAAAGTTTTGGGAACAGGTCAATCCAAATGAACTTTCAAGTCCTTGATATCTGCAGTGTTAACAAAGTTATGAATATTTTTATGCCCCCGTAAACGAAGTTTCGGGGGCATATAGTTTTTGTCATGTCCGTCTGTCTGTCTCTCTGTCTCTCTGTCTGTTTGTCCTCAATAACTTTAACGTTGCCCAAAACTTTTGATTTAGTGGAGCTATGACTTTCATACTTGTATTTCATATGTCTATTCCTTGTGACAAGACCTTTCTTTGGGTACCACCAAATTTGACCTTTTGACCTGGACCTTGGAGTTTGACCCACTTTTACATGAAGATTTTAAACGTTTACTTTGGCCATATCTTTTGAACAGTAAAAACCAGGACATTTATACTTCACTTATGTAATGTTTGTTAAAAGACCTTTCATTGGATAACAACAACTTTGACCCTTTGACCTTGACCTTTGAGATTGACCTATTGTAAAAAAAGCAAATCTTGTCCATAACTTTTAAAGAGTTAGGGCTAGTGCTTTCATACTTCGCATATTTGATCCTTATGAAAAGGCCTTTCATTTGATAATAATAACTTTGACCCTTTGACCTTGACCTTGGAGTTTGACCTACTTTTTAAGAAATTGAACGTTGACCATACCTTCTGAACGGTTAGTACTAGGGCTTTCATGCTCTACAAAAGTATTTTATGTGGCAAGACCTTTCATTTGATACTAATTACATTGACCTTGGAGATTTTTGTAATTATTAAAAAACTTTAACATTAGCTTACTTTTAAATTTCACAATTGTTTTCCAGTGAGAATACCCTACTTTTAGTATCAGGGGCATCAGTGTTTTACAAACACATCTTGTGTTTACTCGTTCTTCATGATACACGCACAACAATGTGTACCGTATACATGAATACTTGCCTATAAGTCTTTTTTGGGGAGTTTAAATTTGGTCCAAAACTCTATGTCCGACTTATGGGCGAGATATAAAAAGATTGGTATTTTAGAAGGTCAATCTTTCTAACATAAGCTTAAAAAATACATCCAACTTATTGGCGGACCGATTTATAGCGAGTATATATGGTATATGCCATGTTAGGGGTTAAACAGAACTTGCAAGAATATTGTTGTCGAGATAAATACCAACTATTAAGAAAATATGATGTGAGATTTGCATTCCTTACACTGATAACATTCGTGGAGGTGAGTTTTGTAATCTTTGATTACCTGTGTCTTGTATTTCAGTGACAATTGAGAAGAGAGACATTGTATGGGTAAAGTGGAAGGAATGTCCTGTCTGGCCAGCTGTTGTAAGTACACTGTTATTAATCAACACTATGTACAATGTACATGTCTTCAAATTGTAGTACATGTATTTCTTTTGATTTTCAACTCCAGCTATGACACACAGTTAATTCATTTGACCTTTGTTAACAGGTCAGAAGACTGGAGAAGAAGAAGAAGAGAATCATTAAGGTGTCCCTCACCCTCATTGAGCCTCACAGCTCTATCCCTAAAAGGTAACTTCATGACTGAAGAGTTCTCACTAAGGGAGGCAATTCACTGCTAATTTGTTTCTTGATTTTTTCATATTTTGCATGATTCAGAATAATATGGTTAAATATACAGGTAGAACTCAGACAATTAATGAATTTATTGCATTAATCTAAATTGTAAACATCTGTAAGTTCTTTCCGAAAACTTGCATCATGAAAGAGTATATTCAGAATTTTTTGATA